AAATACTTGAAAAGTGTCACTAATATATTCCATTATCTTCTCTAAAAGTATCTTTTAGTAACTCTTACAAACCGTCACAAATACTTGAAAAGTGTTACTAATATATATATTTTTAGAGAAGCTTTGAATAAAAAGTTGACTAACCTTTAGAGAAGTTTTAAAAGTGTATCTAAGGCCTTAATTAAGCATCTCTAAAGACTAACAAAGACACACCCTTCGAAAACCCTCTCTAAAACCTTCACCTACCGTCACACAGAGAAGGTCTTTGACAAAATTGAAAAGCTTATCTAAAGGCTTTAGAGAAACTTTTAAGACTTTTAAGTACAAAACAAAAGCTTCTCTGAAGGTCATTTTTCTTGTAGTGATCATCCACAAAAACAAAAAAGATCGTAAAACCTGACTCGGTATTCAAAATCTGACATAAAAAATTAACACATTATCATCTTGAGTATCTGACATCGGCGATGAATCTACACATTCAAATACATCTGTTGGTTCCGTAATCCATTATATGGTTCCACAAACATACCATTTGTGGCCTCCTCGGTTGAAGCAAACAATCCATATTGAGGTTCCATAAACGTAGTATTTGTCGTCTCTTCCGTTAAAGCAAACATATCATCTCCTGGTTCCACAACCCTAGAATAGAAACTTTTCCAAAAAAAAAAGAACCCAAAAAATCGAACCGGCATATTATTGGTGATTTGGTTTTCAAATAAATCTCTCACATAAACTTCGTTTATGATATCCGAAGGATCCATTAAACGTTGATTATCAACAAAACGATTTTGCCCACGACTCTGAAGAACACTAATATACAACACGATATGTTGAAGGTTTAGAATATACTCAACTACTAGATTAAGGAAAAACTCGGTAATAACAAACATGACAGTTATAAAATATGGAAATAGATGATATCAATCCCAAAAAAAGGCTTCATTATATATTTTTGGTAATTATCTAAATAAATTGTTCTACCAAATTTACCCTTTTCTATTTCATAAACCATATAAAAATCCAAAAAAAATGCATGACTAAGATTAAGTTACATCGGTTGTATGAATTAGAAAAGTTATATTTAAACGACCCCTCTCTCTATATATTTCCATCATAATTCTTTCTCGTCGGCTCGTACAAAATCCAAAAAAATGACAATATCTTCTGTGGGCGGCGGAATGGTGTGTGGTCGCAAATTGACCAAACATTTTCTGAGTTGATATTAAAACGACAACTTGCATAGATTTTGTATATTTTTTACCTTACCTCTAATTCATGATTGAGTTTCAAAATAATTATATCTTCTTTGAGTTGATCTCATAAAACGTTACGTTGATCATTTATGACATAGACGGAGAGGGGTGGTTAAGTGGCACCTGCTACTGTATTATTCTTCTATGGTAAGGTAAAAAAGATTAGTTTGATGAAAGATGCAACCGTTTTATTTTAAAAGGTGCAACCCACCGTAGTCAAAAATTCTTGAGTCCGTACCTAATTTATGATATCTCTCTATATATATATATATATATTCCCAAGAACTTTTCTATCACAAACAAACTCACAGAAGCTACAACTATATTATCTATTATGCTTTCACTACTCTTCCTTCTCGCCGGATTCTTGTTCTGGTGGCAATACTCCACCCATATCCATGGCAGCAAACTACCACCTGGCCCAATGCCGTTACCAATAATTGGAAACCTCCATTTACTAGGAAAGCAGCCCAGCCACCGTGCCCTCTACAAACTATCCCAAAGGTATGGATCTATTATGTCCATGCGCCTAGGCTCCGTCAATGCAGTCGTAATCTCTTCGCCAGAGGCTGCCAAGCTCTTCCTTGGAACCCATGACGCCGTTTTTGCTTCTCGTCCAAAACTCCAAGCGTCAAAGTACCTTTATCATGGCAAGGGAATGGTGTTAACGGAATACGGTCCGCACTGGCAAAACGTTAGGAAGTTTTGCTTGATAGAGTTGCTAAGTGCTGTGAAGGTTAATCGATTTGCGGGAATGAGAAGGGAAGAGATTGGGTTGATGGTGGGAAAAATTAGAGCTGCGTCAAAGGCTCATGAGGTGGTGGATTTGGGTGAAGTAGCGGGTGGTTTGATTGAAGGGATGACTTGTAGGATGCTTTTTGGGAAGAAAAATGATGAGAGATTCGTTTTCAAGAAAATAATCGATGAGATTTTGGAAGTGCTCGGCGTTTTCAACTTGGCGGACTATTTCCCCATCCTAACACCCTTTGATCTTCAGGTAATTTTTATAACCATCCACTCAACGATAGACTTGGGATCACGTGAGACCAGTCTGTCTTCGTGAGATCCGTGAGACCACCTTTTTACACTTGAAACTTTACAGCAAAATGCTGTGAATGTAACCTTCACAATGTTTTTGCTGTGAAGGTTCGACTTTTTTAAACCTTCACAGTGTTTTTGTTGGAAAGTTTCAAGTGTAAAATTGTGGTCTCACGGGTCTCACGAAAACAGTCTGGTCTCACGTGAACTCAATCCCTCAATGATAACGTAATTAACCAACAAAACTCAAGTTCAAACTTTATTTACTGCATTCCCGCTCCTCCGTTCCTTACCTTCGAGATATAAAAGAGGGTCCTCGATAAATGCGAAAAAATCTTTAACATATCATTTTTAATTATCATCGTAAATATCATTGAATTCAAGAAATACTAATAATTCATATAAAACCATTTTTTCGAGTATTAGTAAACGTAAAACCAATCGATGGTTATTTTTAATTAATATTATATATCATATCATTTTTACATGACATCAAACATCCAATGATACACTTTTAATATGTAGATTGATATTAATTGGATCACAATGTTGACTATTATGAGTAATAGTGTATGTAATCAATACATGTCACATGGATTTTTCATCTCAATTCGGGTTAATGTTTTTTCCATCACCGTTTAAACTTTTAGCATTGAAACAAACTTTTTTCGAAACCATCAATCTTTATAATCAAAAGCTCATTTTAGGTTATAGTTTGAGATTTTGTTTTTGTTTTCGAGATTGGAGAGTACTTAAAATTCATGAACTCAATATTAGGTAATAAAGAGTTAATAATGTAAAAAAAAAAAGAGTAGTTTTGAAATCATATATATATATAGACTTGGGATCATGTGAGACCAGCATGTTTTCGTGAGACCCGTGAGACCAGCATTTTACACTTGAAACTTCACAGCAAAATGTTGTGAATGTGACTTTTTAAAACCTTCA